CACTGCACGCTTCAAACTGGGCCATCCAGCGCATCACATGCTCCATGCACACTCCACACACGCTTGCGTTGATCCATGTACGCACTACACGCTTCAAACTGGGCCATCCAGCGCATCACATGCTCCATGCACACTCCACACATGCTTGCGTTGATCCATGTACGCACTGCATGCTTCAAACTGGGCCATCCAGCGCATCGCACGCTCCATGCACACTCCACGCACGCTTGCGTTGCTCCATGTACACACTGCATGCTTCAAACTGGGCTATCCAGTGCATCACATGCTCCATGCACACTCCACACACGCTTGCGTTGCTCCATGTACGCACTGCACGCTTCAAACTGGGCCATCCAGCGCATCGCACGCTCCACGCACGCTTGTGTTGATCCATGTACGCACTACACGCTTCAAACTGGGCCATCCAGCGCATCACATGCTCCATGCACACTCCACGCACGCTTGCGTTGCTCCATGTACGCACTGCCCGCTTCAAACTGGGCCATCCAGCGCATCACATGCTCCATGCACACTCCACGCACGCTTGCGTTGCTCCATGTACGCACTGCCCGCTTCAAACTGGGCCATCCAGCGCATCACATGCTCCATGCACACTCCACGCACGCTTGCGTTGCTCCATGTACGCACTGCCCGCTTCAAACTGGGCCATCCAGCGCATCACATGCTCCATGCACACTCCACACACGCTTGCGTTGATCCATGTATGCACTGCACTCTTCAAACGGGGCCATCCAGAGCATCGCATGCTCCATGCACGCTCCACGCACGCTTGCGTTTCTCCATGAATGCATTGCACGCTTCAAACTGGGCCATCCAGCGCATCGCACGCTCCACGCACACTCCACGCACGCTTGCGTTGCTCCATGCATGCATTGCACGCTGCACGTACGCGCCAGACTCGGCCATCCAGTGCATCGCACTTTCCACAGGGCTCCATTTCCTTGGTGCTCCAGGTTGGGCAGGGCTGCCAGGCAGGAAAACCCCGAGCCTTAGATTGGAGTTTGGCGCAATGCCCCTTGCCAGGCTCGGTGCAAGAGAGCAGAGAGCCACCCAGTGTGACTCCGGAGTGGGGGCTGGATGCGCACGCTGGCGAGAACTCCCTCCTCTACCTTCTGTAGAGAAACAGCAGCATCCATCCATAGGCCTCCACGCGCGTCACAATGGAGGCTGGAGGCCCTATTCCCAATTTTCCGTGGCG